CTGGATCTGCTTTTACAACAGCATCAGGGCAGGTTAGGCTCTGCCAGGACCACACACAACTCACAAGTTCAGCAGTTGAACACAATAAAAGTTTATTTCTCGTGTATGGTCTGTGAACAACACAGGTGTGACAGTGACTGTGGCTCTTAAAGCTTCGTTTTTTTATTGGTTAAAGTCACATGGCCACTTACTATCAAAGGACTAAGGACTTGTAGTCCTGCCCTGCACTGGAAGGCAGAGTGCAGGAAATATGTGAACAGCACTAATGACTACTCCCCTAGCCAAGTGACCTTTGAGCCCATTTCCTCTTTTGCAAAACAGGCATAACTGTATACCTCATAGATGATTCTGAGGGTAGATGAAAGCATGTATGTAACACAGTCCAATGTGGTTACGGGGTAAGTACAAACTCCCCCCTTTCAGAAGGCCAGCCCCCAGGGAGGTGGTCCAGGATTACCATATGGCTAAAGTTTCTTCCTGGAAAGCACCCTGGCTCCCATGGTGCTGCCATGTAGTAAGCAGAGGGTGGGTTAGTTCCTGCAGATTCCCTTCTCCACCCAGCAGATCTTATACTGACTGCTTAGATGAACCTAGGTAAAACTCCCAGCATGCAGGGCAAGCATTGAATTTCATCCCTGCACCCACACTAAATACACCTCAACCTCATAACCTGTCCCCTCTCAGCCCTGTTCACACTCACCCCTGAGAGTGCTCTCCCTCTCTGAATTATTCTTTGTAATAACCCAGTCCCTCTGTCCAGACAGAGGTGGAGTCTACTGGAGAAAAAAAAATGGAGAATCCAAGGACAATATCAAGGTTTGACACCTGTTTTGAGGCAAGCACTGAATGTTTGTGCAGGTAACCTCATAATGGTCCTGAAACCATGGTCCTCCTCGTTTTGAGATGTGGTAGCTGATGCTGGGCATGGTTACGTCACTGGCCCAGGGTTACATAGCTCATAAGGAAAGAACTGGCTGGGAGCCCAGATCTCTGTGACTCAGAAGATCACAACTCAACCTCTGGGCTGTCTTTCGTTATTTCACTCAGACCAAAGTTTTGTCAGGACTGTAAACTCACGGCAGTCTAATGTCAGATGTTTAGCCTTAGGGTCCTTATCATGCTGCCATGGAGCCTGCCCTGGGACAGCACAGCAACCAAACTGCCAGTCTTTCAGCACAGTCCCTGATCACTGTACCATGCGACTTCTGACAAGTCTCTTTACCTCCCCTCAGTCTCTTCACTTGAAAATAAAATGGCAGGAAAATGTGACCTGGGGTTCTTTTTGAGTCTAGGACTTGGTGACATTGAGAATTGCCACATCGATACTGTTAGAAGGTATAGCAAAGCAGAGAGGTAGGTAATGTCATCATGTTTAATTAAGAACCATGTACAGCAGGGTGGTGGTGGTGCACACCCTTAGTCCCAGCACTCCAAGGCAGAGGCAGATAGATCTCTGAGTTTGAGGCCAGCCTGGTCTACAAAGTGAGTTTAGAACAGCCAGGGCTACACAAAGAAACTGTGTCTCAAAAAGAGAAGAGAGAGAGAGAGAGCCGTGTACAATGAGGTATGCCTGGAGTGCTCTGGAGACTGAGGCAGGAGGACCATGAGTTTCAGTGCTAGCCTGTGCTTCGTGGAAAGACCCTAATTAAAAAAAATAGACATGTGTTTGAGGTTACATAGAGCATTAATTAAATCCTAATTATTATTTGAAACCAAAAATAGAGTTTGTTTAAGACTGATGGATGTTTGAAACCCACAGATCTCTGCCTTCCTTGCTATTTATAACAGACTCTGGTTTCCTCTGTGGCTCAGTCTGTCTCCTCCTAAACACAGGAAGTGAGGCTCAGATCTCCTGAGTCTGCAGCTCCGAGGACCTTTACTGGGGTTCTGAACTTCCTGGTGGTGGGAAGAAGGGGCCCTGCCTCTGGCTGGACATTGCAGGTTGTAGCTGGACATCTGCTAAGGACACTGTTGGAGGATAGGTTAAGGCCTCTGCTGCCATGGACCCACACACGGCTGCTGGGAAAGGCCTGAGATTAGAACTCAAGTTCCCAGGCTCCGAATCCACAACCACCATTTATACCTGTATCATCCACCGACACCATTTATACCTGGGCTTATTTAGATTTTGTAATGCTGTCGCCCAGTGCCACCCTTGAAAGGGGGCAGGGAGAGGAAGGAAGAAGACACAAGTTCAGACCACCTTTGGGAACATTCCTGGTACCTAAGGGTATCCCTTCCGTGTCTGTATTTGTTCCCACGGCATTGCTGTTAAAAAATGGAATGTGTCTGAGAGAGCTCTGGGCCAGATGGCTGCCCTAAGTCACTGCTGGAGTATTTTAACTACAGTTGCGTGGGAGCTTCCTGACTTGGAGGGGGCTTCCCACACCTCCCCTAGGTTCCCATCTGCCCAGACGCCCACAGCTCCTGTCAGGAGAAATGATGGAGGACCCAAGATGCCTGGGGGAAGGGACTCAGCTCAGAATAGGAGTCAAGGCTTATACTCTAGTCCAGTTAGGGGCTGGGGGCCAACTCTCTCTTTCTCTCTCTTTTTGTATGAGTGTGTGTGTGTGTGAAGCATTAAGGGTTGCATATGCATACAGTAGCTGATTCTGAGAGACATCATGGGTGTGTGCCAGGTGCATGTGTGTGCGCGCGAGAGTGTGTGCATGAGTGTGTGTGCGTGTAAGTGTGCACGTGTGCGCACGCATGTGTAGCATTGTGGACTGCATACGGTAGCTGATCCTGAGAAACATCATTCAGGGTGTAGGAGGAGGGAAGGAAAGAAGAGCAGCTGGGAAGAGGCAGGACGTGGGAACGCGGCAAAGAAGAGTGGTTATTGAAGCTGGGTAGAGCTCAAAACGGGCAGAGATTGTCTTAGGCTTTCCCTGACCTAATCTAAATCTCTCCAAACTGCAAAGCATAAGCCTCTTTCCCACCTTGGATCCCCACATGACCTCAGCCCAGTTGGTCCCTCACTTCTGAACAGCAGAGCCTAGGAGGCAGGGTCTGGGCCTCTACCGCCCAGCTGCTGCTCCTTGAAGGCTCAGGAGGTAGCTGTCTGAAACTGGTCTAGGAAGCCTGAATCTGCAGCCCCTGTACCTTCTTGCTCACCCTAACTGGACACCCTGGACGTCAGAGGATGCAGGAGGGGACAGCCCTGGTGGCATTTCCCAGCAGTGGAACTATGAGTCAGAAGGGTCACCTACTGTTGGAAGTCTGAGAAGACTATGGCAAACAGGAAACCAGAATTAAGTACCAAAGATGTCCAGAGATAGATGGGAGGGAGAACATTTTGGTGAAAACACAATGTTATTATCCAGGAGTGCTAAGCCTGTAGCTTTGTGGCACCTTCAGGGAGAGCTGGGCCAGTCCTGCCCCCTTCCCCACAGGCACTCCCTGATGGTGATGGGAAGCCTAGATCCACATGTGTGCTTGAGACTCTATTTCTCCACTTGCAACACTGAAGAAGAATACTAGAACCTAGCTCATGAGGTTAGGGGGATGAACAAGAACATAAACAAGGTACCCGCCTGTGTGGGCGGCTCATAAGCATCACTCTCCTCCCTCCTGCCGTTTTGGCTGGAAGACAGGGAGGATCTCAATTCTGCAGCACCCTGCTGGCCTCTTGCTCCAAGAGATGTGATTTGCAGGCTTTGGGTTTCAGATACTAATATTAATATGTTGGATTCCACCAGGACCCCTTATACAGACCACTGCCACCATTCTGGGTTCCTGGGCAGAGCAGCCACAGATGGGGTGGGGGATGGGGAAGTGGTAGGGGGTGATGGCACCAAGAACTGGGTCCTTGAGACCTTAACCCATACATGCCCTTGCCAAAATCTCTGACAAGGTTTCATCATCAGAGGCTGATGCAAGAGGCCTGGGAGTCAGGCTCCCCTGCCTCCCCTCCCCCAGAGGTCTCCACATCTTGAGCTGCAGCTGGGTCCTCCTCTTGGGCCTTTTCCAGAGGAGGGAGCTGGATGAAGCCAGGGAGGGCAGCTGGTTAAGAGGCCCTGTGAATGGCCCTAATGTTGGGAGTTGGGGGGCAGGGAGAAGAGGTGGGGGCTCGGAGGGAGGGGAGGGGAGCCGGAGAGGGAACCGTGACGTCCCAGCGCCTGGCTCCTCGTGTTGAAGTCTCCAGGGCTGCCCCCTGTCCTTTGTATAATTACTTGTGACAGTAGCTGCTGGCCTCCATCTTTCCTTGCCACAGGCAGCCTCTCTCAGGTATCTGGAGTTAAAGTGCCCCTTTGTTCCTACCACTTCCCAGGCTGCTCTGGCCTCCCACATTGACCCTTTGCCCCCACTGTCACAAAGCAGAGTGTGAACCTAGCCCGGTGGGTCATCTGAGGGTCACAAAGGTCAATGGGACCCTAGTCTAGTAGAGAGAGTCTGAGCTGGCCAGCAATCAAAGCAAAAGATGGGCTTTAAGACGTTGCAGGGTGGAGGTGGGGAAATTTACTTAGACATTAACAGGAATTCCCTTCAATAAAGGTTGGCGAATTTACGGGAATAAATGCAGAAGGGACGCTTTTTTCAAACACCGAGTTGCTAATCGCTATGGGATGCTCTGAGGTGCAGCATTCTATCCAGAGGTCAGGGTTCTTACCCATGTCTAGCCACAGTTTCGCTGTGTGACCTTGGGCTGTTCCTCTTTGAATCCTGTTCCCCGTTTAGGAAAGGAAGGTTACACTGAGGCTGAAGTACCAAGACTTCAAGGACCCAGGTTCCCGAACGGTCAAGTTCCTAGCGAAAAGTCCTTCAAGCCACTCCCGCTTTCACACTCCCCCCGGCCCCCAGCCCTCCAATCCTACCAACCCCTCCCAGCAACCCGATGGACGCGAGCCAAGAGGTCCCTTTAAAGGCTCAAGTCCCGCCTCTGCTGCTCGTTGGGGCCTTCTATTGGCGGCTCCAGGGAGGGGCGGAGCCCTGTGGTGCTCTTAGGGGCTGGGGGTGGGTCCTGGGGCGGCTCGGCCCCCGCCCCCTTTGTTCGCGCTGCGGCGGGAGGTGGCGGCCAGGGTGGGAGGTGTGTGCGCGCGTGTGTCGCGCCGTAGGGAGCTGCGGGTCTCACCGCCCGCTGTCAGCTAGCTCAGCATCGCCACGCGATGGCTGGAGGAGACGCGCGGGACCAGCCCCGTGGGGCCGGTCGCGGGTGAGCCCCTCTGCCGCCTCCTGCGAGCATGTCACCTCCAGCCTGCGAGGTCCCTTTCGCTAGCTGTGTCCGCGCCTCCGCCTCCTGCAGCCGCAGCCGCTGCTTGGAGCTGTGGCCCCCGGACCCCCGCCCCTCATCCGCGCCCAGACCCTAGTGCCAGAGGACCATGGCTGGCCAGGGCGACTGCTGCGTCAAAGTGGCGGTCAGGTGAGCTCCGATGGCGGGGAAGGGACGTGCTAAAAGGGGGCTTTGTCTCGCGTGGACTCGGGGAGGGGGGCGCGGGCACCGCTCGATCGGGAGCCCGCAGTTCAGGAGGAGGGGCCGACGCGCGCTGGCCCGACTGCCGCAGGGGAGCGGCGGCCCGGCGGACTGATGGAAGGTGGCTTTGTTTGGGTGGTAATTTCTGGCCCCTCTTGGGAGCCCTTAATGATCAGAAAATCGAATAAACAAGGAAATCCGGTATTTCACACTCAGCCCTGGCCCAGGCCGGAGCGTCTGTGTGTTTCCTCTTCGCCTCCCCACGAGGCTGCTGTCTCATTCTGGGGTATAGGAGGGAATCCCCCCTTCCCCCCATCTACCCTGGTTAGCTAGTTCTGTGTTCTTGATCCAGTTCACTATCCTGGGAGCGGGTACTGCAGACAAAGATCGGTTGTGGGACTCATGAAAGGGTTGGAATGGTGCCTCGGCCTTCCACAGGGTGCCAATGGATTTTGGAGAGAACCCTGCTGGTCCTGCCCCAAAAGGAGATGGAACTAGAGGAGGGAGGGAAAGGTGTATCTGAGGGAGGGACTAACCCAGGAAGGGTGAAAGGGGATGGCATGCCCCAATGCTATGTTCACAGGTACGTACATAGGTGAAACTGAGCAGGGAGGTCCCTAGATTTATCTGGAGTCCCGTTCCCAGTATCTGTAGGTACTAGGAGTGATCTGGCAGACATTAGGAGGATGCAACTGAATGAGTTCTTTTGCAAGGGGCACACAGGTGCAGGAGGGACAGGAAGTGCTGCAAAGTTGAACCATCTGTGTTCTTTGTGCTGGGTGGAGATGCTATTCGCCAGCTCCGTTGACTGGGTTCTGGGGCCTTCTCTTTGAGGACATATTGGGAGAGTACCAATGTAGGAGCTGGTCGCCAACTCTGGCATGTACAGAGGAGCATCCATCTCTGTTCCAGCCTTGTAGAATGGGGGAGGGGAGAAGTCAAAGTCGAGGGTGGGTCTCTGAAACAGATCTCCAGATCCCCTGAGTCAGAGATGACCCAGATTCCAGGGATCCTGGAAGTTGCTTCTAGACAAGATCAGAGAAAGCAATGGAATGAATAGGTTCCCTCTTCCTACCTCAGAGAAGATACCCCTGCTCTGTGCAACCTGGAGAGAAGACACTGGGACAGTACATAGCTCAGGTAATGAGCTGACCTACTCTGTGCAACCCAGAGGGAAGGCACTGAGACAGCATATCGCTCAGCAGCTGAGGGAGGGAGGTTGAGGGCCTCCCAGCCTAGTAGCTCCTACAGCACTTAGAACATCTCTTGTGAGCACTCTTCCTGGCACTGAACAGAGAGCACAGACAAAGAGAAGCCCTGCAGGTGCCTACTGGGCCGGTGGGGCGGAGCCAGGCTGCTCCTGAGGCTGACATTGCAGTAGGAACCCTTGGAGGTCGAGGGAAGCGCTCGGTGGGGGTGGGGGTGGGGGTGGGACGTGTAAATATGGCACCTCCAACAGATGGGGAGAGGCGAGCTACCTACCGTAAAAAGAAAACAGAGTCCTAATCCCCAACCAGTGTGAACCAGAACTGACCGAGCAGGAGGTGGGGTGCCCTAACCATGGGGGCCTTCCTTTAGACTCCATTTTGCAGGAGAGAGGCAAACAAAGGCCTTCCCCCTAGGTTCAGGCTCCCCAGTGTGGGCCTGGCATGGTAAAATAGGGGCGTCCCCACTTCAAGAGCCTAGGGGCATGGGGTAGAGAGTCGGGAAAAAGCTAATGTTCCCTTGCCACAACCACCACCATCAGGAGGTTTCTGGGGCCTTGCCCACAGAGAAGGGGTGGTGTCTGCCCTCTGCACCCGGGTCTTCAGGATCCTCTTCCCAACTAGAGTCACCTGTGTAGATGAAGTAGCGGAAACGGAACAGCTGAAGAGCCGGCCTTTGCCATTGCTGTGCCTCCAGGAAGGTGAGAGCCCCGCCCACTCACCCCCTCCTGCTCTCCATCAGCCAGCCCGGCACACGCCAGACCTCAATGGGCAGCAGGCTGTGCAAGGCAGACAATGCCTGGACAGAACCCAGGTTCTAATCAGAGAGCTGAGGGTGGGACTGGGCTGGCAAAGGGAGCAGATGGCGCCAGTGAGGTGCTTTGGGGGAATTCTCCCTGGTTTAGAATCTCTTTTTGCATCCCACCTCCAGAAGTCACTTGTGTCACTGAGGGACTGGGCTTGGGGCTACAGTCCAGTGGCAGGCACAAGGAGCAAGGATTGCCTAGACCTACCCACTATCGTAGGTTTCCTAGCTGCTGGCAAATCCAGCTGTCTTCTGACTTCCTGGAAGTCCTTCCTGACGGAAGTGCTTTCTGAATTCCCATGAGCATCACTTATGGTGAAATCTGGGATCTGGGTCTGATCATTGGTGTGTGTGGGAAGACAGGCCCTGGAATGTTACAAAGGGGACCCTGGGGCTCTTGTAACTGGGATGAAGCTGCCTGCCTGTGTACAAAGCGCTGCTTGGAGACCTGAACTCCTACAGTCAGAAAGAGTGAACTTTCACGATGTAGGGAAGAGGGCCAGAGGTGAGCAGGCCCCCAGATCCTCACACTGTGGTCTCCCCTGCTAGGTGGAGTGAGACCCACGTGCCCCTGAATCCAGGCCAGCCAACCTCACACTAGGGATTCCCAGCCAGTCCCTGCCTGAGATCCTTTTAGCCAATGATCCCTGTTCTCTAAAGGCTGGACTGGCCTTTACCTGGGGTGGGGGAGAAGGGTGAACAGAAGCCGGAGAGGGAGGAGGCGGAGCTGTAAGCACCATGCTGCAGATACAGAGGCCTGACAAATGGGGGCACGAGTGGGGAACGAGGAAGCAAGTCAGCAAAGCTAAAATTGGGGAAGGAAGCCAAGCCACACGGTGAGTTCAGTTGGGACCCTCTCAAGGCCCCAGTTCTGGGCCACGCCGTAAGGAGAGTTCTTGGTGGTGTTCAGCCCCTTCCCCTTATCTTTGTTCAGCTTCCTTCCTTTAGTGCAGGGGAGGGGGAGGTGCCTTGGCTAGTCCACAACCACACTGGGACTACCCCTGACCTCTCCAAGCTGGGCTATCTCACTGCAGCCACTTCCCAAGTATTAACCTTCTCTGAAATCTTGGCCAATGGCTGCCTAAATTTTTAATCAAGACTTTGTTGGGGGAGTCAAGGAGAGTAAAGACAGAGGAAACTGTGGGTGTTATGTGGGGTGTTTTCAGGGTCCCCAAGCTAAGCAGTGCCATTCAATGCCGGCGTCCCATGCTGTCCCATTTATAGATCTGGGAAACTGGGCCCTCTATGGGCTGTGTGGGGACCTGAGAATCTTGGTGGTGGCCTCCTGTTTCAGAAACAGGGCTTCTGTCATCACTAGGAAGTGGAGTGTAGCAACCACAGGCCCCGGAAACTGGCCCCCTCCACTACCCAGCCAGCCTGCTTGATTGGATCTTAGCATTTGAAAACGTCAGAGCAGGGGCAGGGTGGAGCTGGGACCAGGGAACCAACAGAGACAACACAAGTGTGACACTCTCTTGCTCACCGGCTCACTCGTACAGCTCCGGGGGCAAAGGGCAGGGCTAAGCCTGTGTCTGAGGCCCCTTCCTCTTTGTCTTTCTGGACCTCATTTTGCCCATTGGAGAATGGGAACATTTGGCTGATTCTGGTCTGCTCCTTGCGCAGAAACATGCTTAGGGTGAGGAGGGGAGGGGTGTGGTGTCCTTGCAGGGAAGAAAATACAGAAGACTCCTGGGGCATTGAAGATGAGCTAAATGTTTAAACAAAAATCCCTAAGTGTCCTTAAGGGGTGTCTCTCTAGTTGAAGTCATAATGAACTACTTAGTAAAAGTGAATTCATTTGCGACTTTTTTTTAAGCAGAAGTATGCTGTAGTGGACAGGAAGCTGTGACTAAACACCCGCTTAAAATTTTTGCTTGGTGCTGGGCACTGTGCCTGGTGCTGTCCTGCTCCGCTGACCAAAGAGTCTCAGGAGCACACATGGGAGGAGCAAGGATAGGAAAGGCAGGATCCGAACTCAGGGCACTCTCCTTTGCAAGCACAGGTTTAGCAGATGTCCCTAATCTGCCCCAACTCGCTCCTCAGTGCAGCTGCGAATTGAATGCTGAGGTCTCTGAGCTTCAGTTTCCTCAGAGGCTTCATGGCCCTGCCTTGTGTGGCAAAAGGGGATGTGGGAAATACAGACCATGTTGAGCAGATGTGTGGTAAGGGTGAAGCTCTCCAAATGTGCCTTAGTGGTTGCTGGGCATAGCTGCCTATCACCACCGTGGCCTGAGCTCCCAAATCCCTGCTGTTTTCTTTTGTGTTCCAGAAGCTTCTATTCTCCCATCCTTAGGTTCCTGAAGCCATCTCTTGCCTGAGCTGTACCTTGTCCACTCTCTAGACAAGGACGTCGTAGCAGTGGCTCTCACCTTTCCTAATGCTGCAACCTAATGAAGCTCCTCATGTTCCCTTGACCACGCCCCCAACCATCAAATCATTTTCATTGCTACTTCACAACTGTAATCTTGCTACGTTTGTGAATCGGCATATAAATATCTGTGTTTTCCGATGGTCTTTCTGGAGTCGTGACCCACAGGTTGGAAGCCACTGTAGGGTAACCACCCCAGTCAAAGGCAGAGCCCTCGGTGTCTTGGGTCCCCAGGCCTCTCATGTGATCCTCCAGATGTCAGTGCCTTGAGGGCATCGAGGAGAGTAGTGCCCTGCCCCTCCACTTTGGAACAGCTGGAGCTAACTCTGCCAGTTATCTGCCTCAACTGACAAGATTGGGGGGAGGGCACTCTGAGGGACCCGGAAGCATAGAGCAGGTGGTGGCCTACTGGCTGCACTATCTGGGTTTCTGGAGGATTCTTCTTTGACCTCATCTTCTCTAGGGTACGGAAAGGAGGACATGCTATGGTCCCTGTCCCCGAATGCCTGTTTACCTTGCTAGAATGGCAGTAAGGCAAGCTGCTCGTCCTTTATCTAGGCTGAGCTGCCCT